GTCGTTTCTAAGTCACCAATTTAGTGCTACTTGGTCCCAATGGAATTTCCCATTGGGAACCTACTAGCACTAAGTTGCTAACTGGTTAGCAAGATGCTTCCCACAAACCGGCCACAACTAAACGTGCTTGCGAACCTTCCACCACAACAATCCCGCCCCCTTGATAATCGACCAATCACATTCACTTTATTCACTGGTGTAAAGTCGGGCACCACTCTGGAGAATTTGGAAATACAACTGTTGGAACAGCCGCTTCCCTACGACTTTAATTAAAATTCTATATCTTATTAGGTCAATATAAATTCAGAATTTAGGAATTTTACATATTTTTGCCTTAATTTAAGTTAAAATTACCATTTTCTCTAAAATCTGAATTGGAACTCAAGAAAAACCGATAAATTCAGCTGTAAAAATTTGAGTATTTTTTTATTTGTTTTGAAAAAAAAAACATTTAGCAGATGAAAGCTGGGATCCTATCTCAATACCACTGAAGCTATCACCTTTTTTAATTAGTAAAACAGAATTTGTAAATTAAAAAAAAAGAAATAGATCCAAAGGACCTGTCAGTTACTTGGTCCCAATGGAAGTTCTCAGTGGGAACCTACTAGCACTAAGTTGCTAACTGGTTAGCAGGATGCTTCCGACAAAACATAGTGAACTTTATAGTGAACTCAGTTAACTGACCATTCAGACAGATGATCACTGCTTTTTGCTACGTTTTCACGTAACTTAATTCAATTAGGATTTTTTTTATTAATATGATGCATACATTAAAAAATAATAATTTTTTACATGTAACAGAGGAGCTACTGCCCCTTTTTAATGTATTGAATTTGTGGCACGTTGGTTTCTCCGTACCGGCTACAGTCCAACTCATTTTGAGATTTCTGCTAAAAATGTTTCGGTGAAAAACCTTTGAGGTTCTGCAGTTGGATCCTGTTTTTCGCAGCCGTGCACCTCCAGCCTGAAACTGCAGCTGCACAGTTAGACCCTCCAGGACGTCACGTCACGTCAGGCTGCAGCAGAAACAGAGCTAGCTAAACACTACCTCCCTAATTATTACTTCATTTAGTAAAGATATACTAATAATGAGCTCCATCAGAGTCTGATGTCGCTTTTAGAAGGAGAAAATAATAATAGAAAAAGAATTTCAAGCCCATATTTATTCGGGTGAAATGTTACAGTTTGTTTTCCTCACTGTTAGGACTTTATTTGACCAAGTTTTTGTCATTTAAAACATGTTTCACACTCAGATCGAACGGAGAGAAGAACCCCAGAGTGAAACATTATCAAATACGGCAGACAGACACAGAGAAGAAAGCGTTTTACTTGGCAGAGAAATATCTGTTCAGCACCATTCCTGAGCTGATCCATTACCACCAACACAACGCTGCTGGTGAGTCTCTGCTCTCTGCATTCAGAACTGAACCGATTTACAATGATGCGTACATTTCATCACTGCTGAACTCAAAAAATGTAAATGTCTTGAGAGATGCACTGAAAAAAATAATGCAAGCGTTTTGGGGTATTTACTTAATCATATTAAGTTCAATCTGAAAAAACTCACAGGATTAGAAGAAATTTATTTATA